ATAAACCAAAGTACTGAACAAATTAAATGATTAACCTGATAATGGAACTATATGGAAAGAAGATCACCAATTATAATTCATTTTGTGGGACACATGCATAACTGTACCAAATTTCACATTGATCCAAAAGTTGAGGTGAAACATCTTACCACAAATGTCAATGGTGGCACCAGATCTATAGTCTATAGTATATATTCTTATATCTGTATAGTTGCAATATGGCTGCCAGCCATCAGCACTCAGCTCACTCAGCATCACTCAGGTCGGTCAGCGAGGATGCACCATCTTGGATTTCTATGGGTTGTAATGACTTTGTCCCATAATCCGTTACAGTTAGTTCTGTTGTTGTTGTTGTTATTGTTGTTGTGCAACCTCATTCATTTTTCTGTGAAGGTACTGAGCACTGAATGCCTGAAATTTCTTGTGATGCCCCTGTCCTCCATAAGTTTGATAAAAATGCCAGGGATGTTTGGCTATTAAGAAATTGTTGTGCTGGGTTTTGGGTCTGCTGGGTCTGTTCTGTGTCACCCGTAACACAGGGTGAAGTAGTTCACACTGATTACAACTTTATCAGATATATCATGATCACTGTTGGCGATATAAAGGTACTAACTGCACCACTAATTAAACCTGTTCTCTTCATTCAGCGGCTTCCGAACGGACCGTCCTCCATCTTGGACGATGCAGACGTCGACAGGCAGAGAGAGAGCGAGATAGAGCGGCAGAGGTCAGAGCTGGGACAGCTGAAAGAGAGACTGGCCCTCATGTGCAGACAGGTACTTCATTCAGAGACGCTCTCATGGTCTAATGCTTTCACCAAAACACACAAAATATCACAAGCCGAAGATGCTAACAGACAGAAAATGACGTGTGCTCGCTCAGCTTTGTATCTCCCACTGTCACTTCCCGTCAGGTCGGGGAGATCGAGGAGCAGCTGACGTCCGCCAGGAGGGAGCTGGCACGATCGGAGGAGGCCAACCAGAAACTACAGAGGGATGTGAAAGAGGTGAGACTCGCTGAGCTGTTGACAGACAATAAACCGCCACTATGTGTGTCTGTCGCAGTGGCACAAAGAGTCTATTTTGCTCATGCTCACAGAAATATGTAACAGTTTGCTATGGTAACAAAGCCATTTGCCTACTTGGCAGCTGTTACTGTACACACACAAGAGCCTCTACCCTGTAGCCATGGTGACAGTGGCATTGGTATAGCTGCAGGCGTTTTCACATGGATGCGGCCCTGTTAATCAGTCAGTGTGCTGCTAGCTGATTGAAAGTCATGTGGAGCATATTCGGACGAGAGCTAGTCGAGCCAGTTTACTCAGCAAACACTTTTCCCTTAATGTCTTCTCCACGCCTAACTGCTTCTTCTCACTGTCTGCCCCCCTCTGTCTCTCTTGGACTTGTGTAACAGCACAAGTGAGTGCTTCTAAAATCTGTCAACAACTACCATTAACCAGTCATTATCATTCTTCAGCTAATAGCAGTTCAAGCACAGTGAACTCCCTTTGAGCAACATGTACTTGTAAACTCGACATTTCCCGCCATCTCTGTCAGGTCTTCTTTTCTTTCTGTTTCTGCATCAGAATCTTTACATGCATTTTTTTTTCCTGTAGGCACTCTGTCAAAGGGAAGACATGGAAGAGAGAATCACCACATTAGAACGCAGGTTTGTGTTTAAGTCTGTGTTCATGAACTCTCGTTGCCCTCCTCCAACATGTGCTTCGCTCACTGCTCCGTCTGCCGGTTTGTTCTGGTTTGCAGGTACCTGAGTGCCCAGAGGGAGGCGACGTCTCTCCACGACATAAAAGACAAACTGGAGAACGAGTTGGCCAGCAAAGACTCTCTCTACAGACAGGTGGGAAAAGTATCTTTCATCCCCACGTGTGTTCGTGTTTCCGCTGGTGATTGGCAGCTTGGCCACGTTTCACATTGGCACACAGAGCGTGCCATCAATGCGTTTTCTTTTCCCCCAGTGGCTTTAATCATGTCTACTGCCCCCGGCAGTCTTCAGTTGCGCTGCAGAGTTTCACCTCCACTCCCTCTCATCCTGTTTTCTTGCAGAGCGAGGAGAAGAACCGGCAGCTTCAAGAGCGTCTGGATGATGCCAAACAGAAGCTGCAGCAAACTCTGCAGAGGGCCGAGACGCTGCCGGAGATCGAGGCCCAGCTCGCCCAGAGAGTGGCAGCACTCAACAAGGTATGTGTGTATGCAAGTGTATGTATGTGCCTACAACCCTGCCAGCCCTGTTGGGGCATTTGCGAGTTAGCTAACAATTTTGGAAAACTGTTGTAGACATTTTTAACCCCATACAGTTTTATATAATGGAATGAAAATAGTAACAGCAATATGTATGTGCATTAATGTGTGCACAAATCTGTGCATGTTGGAATATGCTCCCGTGCACAGACACAATCACATGAGTGTGTGTGTGTGTGGGGGCTGGTTCAGGTGCATGTGTGTATTCATGCATTAGTGAAACGGAACATGAGATGGCAAATGACAGATGAATATGAAATATTTTAAGCAAACCAGGCCAGTAATTCAAAAAAGCAAACAATCTAAGATGAAAGCCAGCTCAGGGCACAGAGTCAGTGCAGCTATTGGAGCCTTAGGCGCTCAACACGTCAAGAACTGTATGCCGCACAGATTCTTTATAACTGACTGATTTAATTGCTCATATGTGAACCTCTACAATTCCTGTAAACACAATCTCCACTCATGCCAAAAAAACATACATTCACTCTCCTCCACCAAACCTCCTAAATGGCTACACTTATTTCTTACATGTTCAGGCAAGATCAAGATGGCTTCCACGGAAGGATCAGATTAATGCCCTGTAAGACACAAGCAAACAAACTTGCCTGTTACACTGTGATCTGTACAGGCATGTCACTAATTGATATACTCAGTCAACAAGCTGTTTCCTTTGTGTTAATTTGCATTAGTGTCGCAACATGGTTCCCACTCTAACCCCGCTTTCTTCCTCTCCAATCATTCAGGCAGAGGAGCGTCATGGTAACTTTGAGGAGCGACTGCGACAGATGGAGGCGCAACTGGAGGAGAAGAACCAGGAGCTACAGAGGGTGAGTCATGCTTGCTTTTCCATCTCTCTTCTCGTTCTCTGTTTTCATCCTCCCCCTCTTTCATGCCATTCCTTTTGTCAGGCTTTACGCAGGACAAAGGCACACTAATTTTCTAAACCCTCTATTTGATCGTGCACATTCAGATAGAAATCTTTGTCCCTCGCTCACAGTCAAGCAGAATGCTTGTTATTAGCTCTCCTCCCACCCTCCCTTTCCTCCCTCCTCTCACTCATTTTTTCCTTCTCTTTCACTCTCACCCGTCTCGCTCTCTCCCCCTCAGGCGAGGCAGAGGGAGAGGATGAACGATGAACACAACAAGCGTCTCTCCGACACGGTGGACAAGCTACTGTCTGAGTCCAACGAGAGGCTGCAGCTCCATCTGAAGGAGAGAATGGCTGCCCTGGAAGAAAAGGTGACCTGCTAAGACAGAAGAGAGAATTCACAATGTCTCTTCATTTTGATCTGAGCCGTGTAAAACTGCAACAATTTTCTCTCTCTTTTAAATGTGCTACACATAATTTTTAACTGGTTATGAAACAGTCTGAATTAAATACTGATGCCTCTATGTGACCTACACAAACAAGACTATCAGCGAGAAGATTGGCTTTTTCTGTATATTTATTCCTAATACCTGCCACCAGGTCGCATTGGGTCGGTTTCCCCTTGAAATCAATGAAACGAGGTGGTAGAAACACTACCACTGTTGTCCACAAGGCCCGCCAGAATCAACACAAAATCAAAGTTCCTTGTGGATGCTTTCAGTAAAGATTTGAAGTATTTGTACTTAACTTGAGTATTTTTTTTTCAGACTACTTTAAACTTCTGCTTCACTTCATTTTAAAGGGAAATACTGCACTTTTTACTGCATATGAAATTAAAATTCTATATAAATACATACTACATAATATGTTTTATATAATCATATTATTAAAAACAGGCTAATGTATTTATTTAAACCACTCTGTCCCTTTTTAAGAAGTTTAAGAGGAGTTAAAAACTGGATTAGGCTGCATTAGTAAACATTACTGTGCTGGGTGTAGTTTACTGATGTACTGTGCAGCTTCAACTAACTTCCTACAATCCTACTTTAAGACCAATTCACCAACTCTAGTTTGAACACATCTTATTAAGAATATGCTGTTTTTTATTTTACAGTAATAAAACTTCTCATTCTTCCATCTCCAGAATGCCCTCTCTGAGGAACTGTCCAACATGAAGAAACTCCAGGATGATCTCTTGGCAAACAAGGTGCCTGCGCCTCTCTAGGCTTCATTCTTAGTCGAAGCTGGTAGACATATGTTCCCTTTTTTCACCAACTCTGTCTCTTTTCCCAACCCCCAGGACCAGCTGATAGCGGAGCTGGAAAGGCTTCAGCTGGAGTTAGATCAGCTGAGAGCGAGGCCCGGGGGCTCTTATTCCAGGTTGGTGCCATTTCAGCATCCACACCAGAAAATGAATGAAACCTTTATTCTGCCCCAGTGTGGCCTCGCCTGACTGTTAAGATGCCAGTGTTGTGTCTCTTATCCTGTCAGACATTATAGATAAATCACTCGACACTGGAGGCATGTAACACTGTGAGCACTTACAGGGCTAAAACAGTGTTGACACACACACAATGACTGAACTCCACAAACTCAATTGCATGATCCAACACTTCTCATTCTCACTTTCTCATATGCATGTCTTGACACTTTCTCTTATAGCTTTCTGGAAACCTGTTAATGGGAATATGATGCACTTTTACACATTATATCAAATCTAAACTTTTTACGATTTTAGGTAGATTTTTTTTTAATTCATATTGTACACATTTCAGTTTTGGTATTGCCAGTTGTGTTGTGTTTAAATCTCTCGCCTCGCCAGCTGTTTGTTTTTCTGCGGTTTACCGAATCATATTCAGCCTGCAGGGATAATTAACTGTTCATCTTATCTCGTAGCATCTTATCTGTCCCTCTATCTTTCCAGTCGCTCTCTGCCAGGTAGTGCTCTGGAATTGAGGTATTCCCACGGGGGCGGGTCCCTCCCGACCGGCTCCACAACTCACCTGGATCCCTTCGGTAACGCAACCTCCGGGGGCGTGGTCAGGCGGAGTCATCGGGCCCGTTGGAGCTCCGCCCGTGAGGACTCGACCAAGGTGAGAATCTGACATCCCTACGAGCCATCATAATCTGGTTTTGGTAGAAAAAGATTTTTTTCTGCCAAAACCTGACTAAGCACATACTGTAGACTATTGAAGTAATGTTATTGTTGATTGCACGTTGTACCTCTTAGAAGCAGCAGTTTATCAGTATGTGTTTATTTCCTGTTAAAAAGTTGGTAAAATAACAACAATATGTAATACCTCAACATTCGGAACAGGAAGTAGGCTTCATCCTCTTTTTTCTTAATTAATAAATGTTATGGCAATACATCCAGATTTTTCAGTCTGGACCATAGTGATGGACCGACCAACAGACCGATATTGCCATCCCTCAACCCCTTTAACCATGTTGCTAGCATGGCTAAAAAATCGATTTAATCCTGAAATAGAGGTGAATGATGAGTATTTGTAAATGAAATCAGTTGATAAATGGATAATAACTTCCTTGTTGTCTGTTTGTGCAGTACCCTGACTGGGATAGCGGGGCTCTGCTGGGGACTGGGTTCGAGCCGGGCTTGGATGTGGGCTGCTCCGATGACGAAGACGACGGGGAGCCTCGGTTTGGCTCTGAGCTGCTGTCCCCAAGTGGACAGACAGACGTGCAGACCCTGGCCATCATGCTGCAGGAACAGCTGGAGGCCATCAATAAGGAGATCAAGTAAGGAAGGGCGGCAGCACTCAGCAGCTGGGAGGGAGGGAGGAAACATCTCTGTACATAGTGCACTGCAGTCTGATGCACACAAGCCTGCAAAAGTACATATTACACAAAATGAGTGCTCCTTCTCCAGTGAATGATATATTATTATTTGTGACATTATTAGATTAATATTGATGCATCATTGGACAAACAGCATGTTACTATTGTAGCTGCTCAAAGTGGAACTAGTTTTAACTATTTTATATAGTATATAATTATATAATTATATATATATATATATAGTTAACAAGTTTAGTCCAGTGGTTCTCCAATTGAGGGTCTTAAAAAAAAAATCTGTATTCTGTCTAAAAGTAACAAAACCGCCTTACCAGCACCTTAACTCACATATTAACAAGTAACATCTTGTTTGTTAAACCCATACAAAAAAACCAAAGTAACAAGACAATTTGCCACTTTACGTTATGCTTCTGACTATTTCTTGGTCAGAACCAGTAACTTCCTAGTCACTGCTGGTTTGTAAGATGCCAAATTGTAGTTTTTACTAATTTGTTTTTTGCACAGATTAACCAAACTATATGTAACATTATAGCTTTAGAGGTGCTGGAAGACAGATTTTGTTAAATTTGGCCAGTGTGAGTTGTTCCCCCCTGTTTCCAGTCTATGGTAATCTGAAGCTAACCGACTGCCGGCTGTAACTTTGTACCTACATAAGAGTCTCATCTAACTCTTCGCAAGACAAATAAAACTTTTTTTCCCAAATATTCCTCTCAGTATCAGAACATTTTAACTTTATTATGTCATATTCAATAAAACCAGACTGATCCAGGAGGAGAAGGAGAACACGGAGTTGCGGGCCGAAGAGATCGAGAGCAGGGTCAGCGTGGCTTTGGACAGTCCGCCCATCCCTCCATCAACCCTGGGGAGAGACAGCACAGGACGGGGCTTCATCCCCTCGTCCATCACATCCTCCACCCTGGCCTCCCCTTCTCCTCCCAGCTCTGGGCACTCCACCCCTCGCCTGCCTCACTCCCCGGCCCGTGAGACTGATAGACAGGTACCGCTGGAATGCAAGAATAAACTTCTTTTCCCTTGCGTGTTAACCTTTTTTTTTATCTCACCTCTGTATCCACCTCCATATTTATGCAAACGGCTCCTCCAGACAGTGAGTCATGTAAATAAAGCATGAGTAAATCATGCAGACGGGGTGAGAGAAGTTAAGTTATTCTTCAGCAGCATGTTTGATTGGGCAAGCCTGTTTCAAGTAACTCATAGGGTAGGTATGGCGGTTGGTGCCAGACACACTGGTTCCAGTATTTCCAAAAGGGGCGAATGGATTACAAAAGTTGGTGCAATAAACAAAAACCAGGGATTTCGAAAGTTTTAATCTTAGTGTGTGACTTCTTAGAATGGAAAGAATGGTTCAAGTTATGGTTCAAGCTGGCAGGATGTACATCAGACAAACAGCTTAGGACAGTAATAGATTTAAAAACCTCCAGTCGATGTACAGTAGCAGAAACCGCTTCCACTCCTGTCAAAAACAAACATGTGATGGTAAAGTTGGGTTGCGGTGACCAAAATGACACAGTGGAGAAGTCGTAAAAAGGTCATCCAGTCCCACTTTCTATTCAAATCAGGAGTAAAACACATAATGGATCCAATGGTTCTTATGCTGGATCTTGAAGTAGGTTTAAATGGGTATTATTTCTTGAAAAAAGGAACAAAAGAAGAATGGAGAGTAAAAAGGCTTGTGGGGTTTGAGGGCACTGGACAACTAAATTCTGTGATTTTATTTTCCTCCTTTTTTGGACTTTTCAGCGCAAATTGCGGTGCATCAGCCAGCAGCCGGTTCCCAGAACTCATTATTCTCAGTCATTATTGACCAGTTGCTGACTAGTTGTTTACTGTATTTACACTACAGTCATAAGGTTTATGCTTCTTCCTTACAGTCTAAAATCAGCGCAGGTTGGTGGGAACAGTATTTATGTGTGGTTTGTCCAGTTTTTGTAGCTTTCAGCTAGTCTTTGGGTTTGTCCCAAGCTTTAGCTTAGTACAAAGATTGGAAACCTATCTGAATTCTCCCCTGATTTCCTGGCAGCAGCCAAAAAAGTCCACCACATAACCCTCGTAAAACAGCGAATTGTTGTTTTTACATGCCCTTGTAATATCTTAGTGAGTTTCAGAAGTGCTTTTGTTACCTTTGGACAGAGCCCGGCTAGTGGTTATCCCCTGTTTCCAATTCTCGTGTTAAGCTAAGCTAACCAGCTCATCTAACTCCCTGCCAGAAAGTCTAGTTCTCTCATTATTCATTCATTCAATTAAATAATTTTACTGTAGTTGGAATGGTTCATGAATTTTCCCTGTAATTCCCATCCTTGCTACCTAATTAGCCAGCTAGCACACATAGCTAGCTAATTAGTGTGAGAGGTGTTTCTGGATTCTTCAACTGTCTGGTTGAAGAGACGACTTTTATCCATTACATGAGAATGTTTAACAATTGCAGTAATTTAATCACATCTCTTAATTGAAATAATAACCTCAGATCTCAACCCAAAGAAAGAGATTTTATTTGGTGGAATCAGATTGTTTCTGGTCTGAATTTGCCTGAAAGAGTCTCTTTACTTAGCAGTAATAAAATATAATTTCATGCAGTCCAGGTCTCAATGATTCAGCTGTTTTGGAGGAAGAAATGGCTTGGTGTACCATCCCAGCTACACACTATTAGAAGTGTTTTTTAAATGCTCTATATTTCATGTTTCAGAACAACAAAGATGATGACCGGTCCCTCGCTCTTCTTGACTCTACGCCTCCTTCCACTCCTCGAGCGCTGCGATTGGACAGAATGACCCTCACCCATCCAGGAGCAATGCTAGATGACCCCCGGGAGTTTCGCAGGTAAAGCAGCCCACACATTAAATATATCAAATACAACTGTTTAATTGGCTTTTCCCCCTTAGTGATTTCCTTTGTCCCCTCCAGTCTCTCGGCAGATGGCAGCAGCTCCAACAGCAGCCAAGATTCTCTCCACAAGTCCAGTAAGAAGAAAAGCATCAAGTCTTCCATCGGTCGGCTTTTTGGAAAGAAGGAGAAAGGAAGGATAGGCCAACCTGGGCGGGATGGATCTGCTTCTCTCGGTAAACAGATGGAGGATAAGGGAGGGATAACACTGACTGTATATGAGTAATCCACACTGTCAAAATTTTCATTTAAACACATCTGAGCTGCTCTAGCTCTGTGATTTGAGGTATTCGTATCTACATTATCTGTCATTCTTGTGACCTTTGACCTTACTGTGTCTCTTCCAGCATCTACACCCTCTGAAGACCTGGCCTCTGGAGACCCAATGGGGATAAACAAGACTGGGACTCTGGGTCCTGCAGATAAAGATCGCCGCAGCAAGAAGAAGTTTGTGGATTATGTCTCCTGTTTTGTTTTAATGGGTTTCTCAGGTTAATATTTTGATCTTTGGCGCCAAATAAGACTCATGTAATGCTTCCCTTTCTTACCAGGCATGAGCTACTGGAAGAAGCATGTCGCCAAGGACTTCCCTTTGCATCTTGGGACGGACCCACTGTTGTATCTTGGTTGGAGGTACAGTGCAATCACAGGGATGGAGGATTGTAGTTAAATGTAATTTGGATCAAAATAACATTCTTCCATTACATTTTCTCCTTTATTTAATCCCCCTTCCAGCTGTGGGTGGGAATGCCAGCCTGGTACGTCGCAGCCTGTCGTGCCAACGTGAAGAGCGGTGCCATCATGGCCAACCTGTCGGACACGGAGATCCAGAGGGAGATCGGCATCAGTAACCCGCTTCACCGCCTCAAACTGCGGCTGGCCATCCAGGAGATGGTGTCCCTCACCAGCCCCTCTGCCCCGGCCAGCACTCGCTCTGTGAGACTCTGTGACTGCACATACATTTTACTCATTCACCTAAAAAAATTAATTATGACAACATAATTGTGTTCTCATGTCATAAAAAAATCCCAGTCTAGACAGCTTCCCTACAGGATTAAAAGTAAAGAAGCCTTTAATTGGAGAACGCTAAGACCTTAAACACCTTCACATGTCGATTTATGCATTCATCAGGGTGTTGATACCTTTTAACACAGACTTTTTGCTGATAATACACAAACGCTGCATTCATATTAGCAGTATGAGGTACATGTTAAACCAGGTGTTTGTAGTTTTGAGATTAGTTGAAATGTTAATGATCCCTGTTGGGGTGATTTCCAGCAGACACTAGTAATATAATACAAAAATAAAAAATAAAATGTAATTGAGGGTATATGATATCATAACAAGGATGATGTAAAATAAAAAGCAGATTTTTGTGACTTGAAAAAAGTGTGGAAAATAAGTGAAGTCGCAGGAGTGAAGAAACAAAAAAAAATCCAGATGCAGGAGAATGTGGAATACCCAAGAACATGAAACATATCCTGAATGTCGTAAATGTCAAAAATAATAAAAGTATGACTGTATTTTCCAGGAGAATGATAACAAACTAAACTGCTCCTGATAAAGTTGCACCCATTTCGCCCAGAGATAAAAACTTGGCAACAAAAGCTAAATTTTCCCAAATTCTACCGTCTCACACAGCCACAAAGATAAACCAGATGTTGAAAAGTGTTGTAAAACGGTTGCACGCACATACATTTGCGCCCCTGCTTTTAATGTGTGCTGTTCTAAAGACGATAAAGTCACAAATAACCAAAAACCATCTTCTACTGACTGTCGAATTTGCATCAAATGCCAAATTTGGTTTGGCTTTGCTTTCCCAGCCCCTTGCTTGGCTTCGCATTTATTTACAGCAGGAATCATAATAATCAAATGAAATGATGAAAATGATCAGGCACACAATTCTGCTCAACAGATTTAACACATTTATCCTATCAGTTCCCATAAACCGGTTGAACCTTTTCTCCAGCAAAATCACCATGGCAATGAGGAAGCAGATTGCTGTTGTGGTTAGCTGACATCTTGTGATGTGGCACAGCAAAAATGCACAAGTGTTGAGTCAGTGCTTCAGGCAGTTGAGGCAATCTGCGGTGCGCTTTTATCTCATGGTTTCACTTTTCTCTTAACCACAGTCGACCAGTAACGTTTGGATGACCCACGCAGAGATGGAGTCTCTGAATGCTGCCACCAAGCCTCCGGTTAGTGCCCCTGCTGTCCCGTCTATGTCTTATGAACCCTCTTACATGTTTTTCATGACTGTTTTACTCAGTTTTGAATTATTTTAAGTATCTCGTCTGGTCTGAATCATGTTGATGAGTCTCTCCCCTTCCTCCGCTTCCCCACTCTCTGTCTCTCTTTATGAATTTCTATCTTTTTATATCTGTCTTTGTGGGCCCAGGCCATAGTGTTGAGCATCTTCTTCTCTCCCTCTGGTTGCTGTTTCAGTGTGAACTGCTTCCAACTAATTACCCGTTCACTAACACACTATTCCTCCCTTTTGTCCTCTTTTCCTGCTGCTGCTGCTGCTGCTGTTGCTGCTCCCTCCTCTGCTTCTCCTCCATCATCTCTCCATCTGTATACCCTGCTCTTGACCCCTGCTCCCCTTTCCCTTGCCACCTCCACCTCCACATCTCTCTCTCTCTCTC